CTCACTTGGTAGCCCAGGCTGGCCTCGAACTCACAGAGATCCGCCTGGCTCTGCCTCCCGAGTGCTGGGATTAAAGGCGTGCGCCACCAACGCCCGGCTGAAAAAAAGTTTTGCAATGTCGTCACCTTTTTGTGTCTGTAGCATAGGCCGACCTTGTACTAGATTAGTGGCCAAGGACGACCTTGAACCTCTGTTCTTTATGCCTCCACCCCCCCTTAGTGCTGGGATGTGGGTCTGCACTACCGCTCTGGTGTATGTAGTACTGGAGATTAAATTTTCCACATGCTAGTTAAGCACTCTAACTACAAAGCTACATCCTGAGCCCCTTATCCGCCTCTTTATAAATTTTAATTTGGGGGCTGGAGAGATGGCTCAGAGGTTAAGAGCACTGTTTGCTCTTCCAAAGGTCTTGAGTTCAATTTCCAGCAACCATATGGTCTCTTACAACTATCTGTAATTTGATCTGGTGCCTTCTTCTGGCCTGCAGGGATATGTGCACTATATACATAATAAATATATAAATTAAAAAACAAACAAACAAACCTGTCTTAAAAAATGAAAACAAAACAAAATTTTAATTGCTTCAGATCTAATTGATCCATTATCATCAATCTATTTATGTATGTATGTTTGTATGTTTTTTTGAGACAGGGTTTTTCTTCGTAGCCCTGGCTATCCTGGAACTTGTTCTGTAGACTAGGCTAGCCTCCAGCTCAGATCTGCCTGCCTCTGCCTCCTGAGTGCTGGGATTAAAGGAATGTGCCACCATGCCCAACTCTATTTTTAAGTTTTGTAAATTGACTGCTTATAATTATATTTTATGAGATATAAAGGTAATGTTATAATCTAAATAGCAACATGGAATAGTCAAACCAAACTAGTATGTCCAGTACCTTAGGGTTTTTTTTTAATTTTTTTTAAAGATTTATTTATTTTATGTGTACAAGTATTTGCCAGTGCACCACATTTGCGTGGGTACTCTGGAGGCCCGAAAAGGGTATCAGTTCTCCTAGAACTGGAGTTAACAATGGTTGTAAGCCACATGTAGATGCTAAGTACTGAACTCAGGTCCTCTACAAGAGCAGCCAGTGCTCTTAACTGCTGAGCCATCTCTCTTAATCATCTTCTTTATCTCCTCCAGCATTGAAATATTTTAACTTTTATTTGCTGTTAAGAGTTCTTTTCTTTTCTTGTTCCTTTTTTTTTTTTTTTTTTTTTTTGAGACAGGGTTTCTCTGTATATCCCTGGTTCTCTTGGAACTCGAGCTGTAGACCCGGCTGGCCTTGAACTCATAGACATCTACCTGCTGCTACCTCCCGAGTGGTGGGATTAAAGCTGTATGCCACCACCACCCCGCACTTTCTTTCTTTTTCTTACTTACACTGCTGGACCTGGAACTAGCCAGGTTACCTGGGCTGGTCTCCAGTTTGCGGTCCTTTGGTCTTAACCTCCCAAGTGCTGGAATTCTAAATGTGGCTTTTCTGACTTCTTGGCTTAGTTTTGCATGTGGCATAAAAGCAAGTCATTGGTGTAGACAAATAGGAATCTTCTGCTGTGTCTAGTGTCTTGTGTAATTTTAGCAATTGTTCTCTGAAAATTTTATAATGCCTTCATGTAAAGTACCCATCTTTGCATAATGTTACCTAATTAAGGCACCATTTGTTTCTGGTAGAGAAACTTTGGTTTTGATAGATAACATAGGTTATAATGTAGTCTACCCAGCAGCTTTAGAGTCCTTGAATCGCTTAGCCCTTTCTTTCTTCTTTCTTTTGCTGATTCTTGTTTGTAGGCAGAAGGTTCTGAAGAGCACTGAGGAGCAGGAGTTGGAGAAAAGACTGAAGATGCAGCAGGAGGTGGTGGAGATGCGGAGGAAGAACGAGGAGTTCAAGAAGCTCGCTCTCGCGGGGCCAGCGCAACCCGTGAAGAAGTCCACCAACCAAGTCACCAAAACAGTTGACTTCCACTTCCTCACGGATGAGCGAATCAAACAACATCCCAAGAACCAGGAAGAGTATAAGGAAGTGAATTTCATGTCTGAACTTCGAAAGCATCCTTCATCTCCTGTAAGTTGCCAGGCAACAATATTCTTACTACTAATTGAGTAGGATTCAGCTGTAGCATTTGTTGTTATTATTTACAATAGGATAATTGAGGAGGCTTATTTTTTGAATCAAGATAGATATAAATTCCCTGTGAGCTGTGTGACTGTCAATAAATCACTCCTCTGGGAAAGCATGTTACCAAGTTGGTGTAAAAATTAAGATGGGACATGAAACACATAAAATTATATGTGGCAAATTTGTAGAGGCTTTTTCTAGCACCTGAAGGCTTGGGTGTGGAAAGTATGACCTCATTGTAAACAGATGTTTCTTGTTCCAACTCCCTGGTCTCAAATAACAGACTCAAAGGTTTAATATTACTTATAAATGCTTGGCCAATAGCTCAGGCTTATTACTAACTAGCTCTTACATTTAAATTAATCCATTTTTATTAATCTACATTCTGCAATGAGGCTCCTGGCTTGCTACCTTATTTTCTACACGTCCTACTTGCTTGGCGGCTAGCCGTGTCTCCTGACTCTGCCCTCCTTCTTCCCATTATTTTCAGTTTGGCTTTCTCACCTAACTTCCTGCCCAGCTTTTTATTAACCAATGGGAGTAATGCATTTTCACAGTGTGGGAAAGGATTGTTCCACAGCACCTCATCTCCAATAGAAGACAGTGATGACTGCAAATATGAGGGTTTAGGGTCATCATAGCCTCTGGCGGTGCTCTGCTAGTAAAACCGGACACACACAGTGTGAGAGGTCTGCCCCAGCCCTCATCAGGCATCAGGGAGTTTGCTGTGAGATGTCTCCTAGGAATGTCAGAAGCTACACCTGTAGAGTCTCACCAGCATGACTGCCTAAACATGAGCTGAACAAGGACAACCTAGCATGGGTGAGGGGAAGGTCAGGAGGCCTCAGTCCTATTCAAAGAACTACAAGTAACGAAGGAGTGCTGAGAACTGGAGAAATAGTTTTCTCAGGGAAGAAGAGCACATCAGCTTTTTATCCAATACAAAGGGTCAGCCTGGAAACATACATACAAATAATATTATACAGACTGTCTTAGTTAGGGTAACTATTGCTGTGATGAAATGCCATGACCAAAGAAACTCGGGAGGAAAGGATTTATTTGGCTTACACTTCCACAACACTGTTCATCACCGAAGGAAGTCAGGATAGGAACTCAAACAGGGCAGGATCCTGGAGGCAGGAGCTGATTTAGAGGCCATGGAGAGGAGCAGGAACTGCTTACTGGCTTGCTCCCTATGGCTTGCTTAGCCTCTTTTCTTATAGAACCCAGGACCATCTGCCCAGGAACGACTACCCACAATGATCTGGGCCCTCAACATCCATCATTAATTAAGAAAAAAAACAGCCGGATCTTATGGAGGCAATCTCAATAGAGGGTCCCTCCTTTCAGATAACTCTAGCTTGTGTCAAGTTGATATAATACTAGCCAGCACACAGACTGAGCAGGTTATATATAGGAGTATGTATGTATGTATGCATGTATGTATGTATGTAACAGTTAATGAAAAAAGAGGCTGTAAATCTGAAAGGGGGTGGATATGGGAGGCTTTGGAGGGAGGAAAGGAGAGGAGTAAATGAAGTAATTATGTCAGAAATGAAGGAAAGAAGTTAAATCTAGAGCCATGTGAGCATAGTCGACACCTAGTTTAACCTGCAAGACATTAGCTAATTGATAAAGGAGATTAGAACCAGGGGCTAGTTATCGGCATAAAGGTTTTAGGACCTGTTCTTACAAAACCTTGCTAAACATCCACTGGGGCGGGGGAATCCTAAGAAAAGCCTGTTGTCTACAATGTTGAGTCCCAGATCTCTCAGACCTTATGTGAAAACTGCGTTGGAGTGGACCGCTCATATTGTCTTCAGTTTTTTGTTTAGTTTTGTTTTCTTTTTTCTTTTGGTTTTTAGAGACAAGGTTTCTCTGTGTAGTCCTGGCTTTCCTGGAACTTGCTCTGTATACCAGACTGGACTTGGAACTCGTAGAGATCCCTCTGCCTCTGCCTCCCTGAGTGCTAGGATTAAAAGTATTCACTACCACTGTTCTGCATTTTTTTTTTTTTTAATTTTACAGAGAGTAGTAGTTAATCTTAACTGTAGAGCCATCTCTCCATCCAGTTTAGTTATTGTTGTTTTAAGACAGGGTCCCATTTAGTTTAGGTTTGCCTCAAACTTACTGTGTAACTGAGGATGACCTTTGAACTCCTGATCCTCCTGCCTTCACTTCCCCAACAATGGGATGGTGGGGTGCACCACCACTCCTGACTTCAGGCAAGGTTTTATTTTTAAATACTTTTAATACTTATTTTTCTTGTAGTATTTGTGTTTTGAGTGTATGCCATATATGTGTGGGTGATAGTGGAGGTCAGAAGAGGGAGTGGGAATTCCATAATTGGAATTAGAGGTGTTTGTCTAAGTCACCTGAAGTGGGTGCTGGGAATTGAACTCGGGGCCTATGGAAGAACAGCAGGAACCACTGAGCTACCTCTCCATCCCCCCCAAATGATTTATTTATTTTATGTGTACATGCGTTTGGTCTGCATGGATGTTTATGCATCATATGTATGGCTGGTGCCCATGTGTCCAGTTTTATTAGCAGAGCACCACCAGAAGCAATGGTGATGCTAAATCATCGTTCTGGAACTAGCGAGCCCCTCACATTTGTAGTCATCATTGTCTTTTATTTGAGATGAGGTTGTACTCTGTGGCCGGTCTTGAGTCAGTCTTAAAGCCTGAATTCGCTGCTGCCTCTTTAGAAATATGCCCTGGAGTTTTGCTTCCTTTCAAAAGAGGCAGGTGGATTCCCTGGAGTTTTGCTTCCTTTCAAAAGAGGCAGGTGGATTTCTTGTGAGTTAAAGGCAGCCTGCTCTACATAGTGAGTTCCAGGCCAGCCAGGGCTACACAGAGAGACCTAACTTAAAAAACTCATTAAAAATAGATAAAAAGTTGCCGGGCGGTGGTGGCTCACGCCTTTAATCTCAGCACTCGGGAGGCAGAGCCAGGCGGATCTCTGTGAGTTCGAGGCCAGCCTGGGCTACCAAGTGAGTTCCAGGAAAGGCGC